TTTTTTCTGAGGTTTTTTTTTCCTGCTTTTCTGTTAAATATTTGCTGCTTGCTATTTCAACTTAATTGGATCTGGTAGGCCTAACTTTACTAGCCAGAAATTAAGAAAGAAATAAACTGAATAAACAAATCTGAAAGAGTAATTTGAAAAGTGTTAAGAAGGACTCAATATCTAACTATTAATTCTTCACTATCCTTCACACTTAAACTCAGACCATGAAGATATTCTAGCAACAGTTCGACTTCTTATTCTATGTTGATGCCACATTTTACTAAGTACCTAGCTTACATGTTTTTCTTCTTGTATTGTTCCTGTACTAAAGGAATACCTTCATGAAGGAACTTGCCCTGTGGCAAAGGTTGCGCCATCCAAATATCGCACAGTTCCTTGGTGTTTTAAACAATTCTGATCGCTTGATCTTCCTAACTGAATATTTCCGCAATGTAAGTATGTAATTCAACTTATGATGCATGGTTTTTCTATGATTCTGCTTCCTGACTTCACTTCAATCTGCATGTGCTAGGGAAGTTTGTATGACATATTAAAAAAGAAAGGAAGACTAGATACACCAACAGCAGTTTCTTATGCTTTAGATATTGCGAGGTGTGTATATCCAAGCATATGCTCTTCTGCGCTAGACGTGGTAACTATATCATTATATTGCCCAAAAATATTTATTGTAACACATTTTTTTTTATACTTTAATTTCGAATGTTATTGGTACATGGAGTTCTTTGTCCTTTCACATCTAGGACTTTCTTTTACTGCAAACTTTTTGACAGTTTGCAATGTGCATAGCTACCTTCTGCCTAACACATGGGGTGCCAACGTAAAATGTGTAAGAAACCTCATTTTTCCTACCTGAATATAGATATTCATGCTTATTCTATTAGTAGTATAAGGAGGTGGCACGTTATACCATGTTATCATCAGAAAGGTCGCTCGAATCTTCATTATAAGAAGATTGCAAAAAAGTCTATTCTTGTACAATGGCAGTTTAGGTAATTCTGGAAATTTTTTCCATAATTAACTGCTCTTCTTTGTATGCATCTACTGTTGTGGGAATACAAACAGTTCGTCTGAAATTGTTCTCTAATGAAGGGTACTTTTCTACTCTAGAGATTATAGGGTTCTCTGTATCCAACAAGTCCTAATTACTCTTTTAATTTCTAAAGATAGATATATAAAGGCAGAAATTCAAAGAAAAATGTCTTTTATCTACTGATTTCATTGTGTATCGTCCCAGAATGTGATCTGTGAGTGGAGATATTCAATAGAACACACATTAAATCATTCTTAATAATTTGTAATCGGCTTTTATTCCTAATAGAAATATTAAGCTTTTGAATGAGCATAAATGTTAGCAATTAGTATTGTTTGAAAGTTCTTAATAGGTGTTACATCTGTAACTAATTGTTTTTTCTCTAATAGAAATTGTATGAATTAGTATTCCTTTCACTTGAAAGTTGTCTAACCCATTTGCAATTACTCCAACAGTGAGCTGATTCTTTCTCTGATCTCTCAGGGGCATGAACTATCTCCATCAACATAAACCACATGCTATCATACACCGAGATTTGACACCCAGGTACTTTAGCTTGTACCTTTTTGCTAGATCCATCATATGAGCATGGTATTTTTCCCCGTAAGGAGTCAGTTCATCAAAATTGACACATTCGTCTTGCTTCCATCAACCGTCTTACTTATTAGTGTTCTGTGAGACTGACAGGAATATATTACAAGATGAAGCTGGACACCTCAAGGTCACGGACTTTGGCTTGAGCAAAATTGCCCAGGAAAAGGATGCGTATGGTTATAAAATGACGGGAGGAACTGGTTCATGTAAATTTTCTAACAGATATCTAAACCTTTCTTATATGGAATCTGTGCTTAACTGCTCTTATGAAAATTTTACCAGATCGTTATATGGCTCCTGAGGTTTATCGCCGAGAATCCTATGGGAAAAGTGTTGATGTCTTTTCATTTGCTCTACTAGTGCATGAGGTAGCTTTAATGAGAACACTACTTCTTTTCCATCTATTTTCTATTTACATATTTTTCTGAACATTAATTCAATAACTTGTTAAATTTTTAATTTGGATATGATTTTAATGGCGGTTTTTTCTTAAAAAGGATGAGGTATTCATTTTCTGTTTTGGATTTTATTTGTGTAGATGTTCTTAGGGGGACCATCCAATAGAGCAGAAACTGCAGAACAAATTGCTGACAGGCGAGCATATGAAGATTTCCGACCGCCTCTTTCCTCGATTGTGTATCCTGAATCCATCAAGACGTGAGTTCTCTCCAACTGCTTTTTCACCTTGATGATTCCTTAACCCACATGAAATTAACTGTTACTGTATTGGCCTTACTACTCTAGATAAAGTAAGGTTTTTGATAGTTGCCCAGATTTTGGTAGTCACTAGACAAAAGTTATTTTTGGCTCTTTTTGGGTACTTCCAATACTAGATTGTGTAAGTGTAATATTTTTAGGATAGCGATTCAGAACACTTTTACTTCCCTCCTGGAAACATAATCCCAAGAATCATTCAATTGATCTTTCTAAGGGAGGCCTTGTGCTCTTGGGGGAAAATGGACAAAGAAAAGATGCATTGAGTTATTACAGCTATATGAATTATCATCAGCAACTCTTGGATATATATATTTTGAGACCAATGAACATCTGATCAGATTTTGAGACCAATGAACATCTGATCAGATTTGGACTGATGATTTGGTTACTGCAGACCATAGATCTCTAAAGATGCTTGTTTTTACTTAATTTAGGCTTCTTCGAGAATGTTGGCACAAGAATCCAGACTGTCGACCTACTTTTGAAGAGATAATAATAAAGCTCGAGTCCATTGAAGAGAGTTTCCAGAAGGAGAAACCCATGGGAGATTGCTGCAGCTGTTCCATCTTATGAGGCAAGTTAATATAAAAATATTTGATTTTACACTGTTAGTTATTCTTCTCACCGTGTACTGTTCTTTCTGTATTTTACCAGAACATTCTGTTCTCTGTGTAGAAACCAGACAATAATCAAAAGAAGATTAATCACATTATGAAGAACAATAAGTACTTACAGGGAAATTATGAGCCTGCTATTAGTAGCTATATTGATATGGTATTTGTTGATCAACTGTAATGATTCTGAGTTTTAATGAATTGATCGAATTTGGAGTGAATAAACTACTGAAATAGTAGTTCAAGTCATAGATTACTTTATTTTTATTCTAAAAAGCTACTGCTTTAGTATTAACCATTAAAATTATTCTCCTTTCTGCGTTGATGAATTGTTTTTCATACATTATTTTGCTGATTGCTCTTGAATCCATTTTCTTCTAAAACAAAAAGAAATAGGGTGTCACCATCAAAATGATCAACATTGTAAACATCTATACTAGGCACAACAAAAATAAGAAGGATATTTTCATTCACTAAAATAATTATGTATAGGATGCTACCTTCAAAATTAACATCATTTCAAAAAACAGTTTATTGATCAGTAAATTGGGTTCAAAGTTTGATATTTAAGACAAGTAAGTGGAATTGAAATTTGAATCCACCACTAAGTAAATGTATAAATCGGAACCAATATATAATAAGGAAGATGAATATTAGATTTGAAAATAATCAAAATTAACAAAGCTGAGTTAAGCTGATCTTGAGTTTTGGGGTCAAGAGTTTTTCATTTTAATTACATTTAAACTAAATTAAGAATTAGATTAAATTTTGAATCAAAAGCTAATATTACAAAGGCAAAATCCAAATACTCAAATATAATTCTCTTTCCAAGTTTTGAGCTTGACCGCAGGGTTAAATAAAACTATGAAATAAGAAAAATCGTCAATCCGAAGCACAGATGTCTGGGTGGTGTAGTTGGTTATCACGCTAGTCTCACACACTAGAGGTCCCCGGTTCGAACCCGGGCTCAGACATCAAAAGTTTTACATTTTTTCTGCAGTTTGCCTCTTGCTCATATGAAACGCTGTCGTTTCACTGATATGCCATTTTCTCTTTGTACTACTGTGATGGTTCCGCACCATAGACACCCTTTGCTACGTATCTATGCCGCGTCCAACATCCAGACACGTCAGCCTATTACGTCACACCACAGCCATCGTCCTCAAACGGAGAAAGTCGTAGATTTCTTCCCTAGAAAATGTACATGTAAAATTCAAATTAAAATATTTTCAGTTGAGAAATAACACAATTACTCCGCCAAATTTTTTGGCTTCTTCCCAAACTTTCACCAGTACCTCACCTCAACATCATATATCAGAACTCGCATCCTATCGAAATTTCGAAGCTAGGTTTCCCAATTCACTGAAAAGGGTACGCCAAATCAGAAATTAATTTGAGCATGTATGATGGTTTGCCCATGGCAAGATTTGGAGAAATGAAAGAAGATGATGGATTCTATAAGAAGCAATGCGTTAAGCTGGCACGAAAGGCAATTAGGCACACAAGTCCCGATCCAATGGAAAGACGGCGATTAGTGAAGGGTTTCACCTAAAACCTGGTTAGCTTCATACTGAAGATCCAGGAGATTGTGTAGTGTCAGTGATCTGGAAGAGCTTCTTGGAGAGGCTATTGAGCAAAATACGTTGCAGACAGTTGTGCTAGTGTATTGGCTTGGGGAGGTTAATGGTGATACAAATCTTCAGCCGACGTTCGAAGCAATGAAGAAAATATTTAAATTGAAGAATCTTATATTGCAGGATTTCACATAAAGAGTCTTGTGCTTACAGAAAGTTTTATAAATAGAGTTGAAACCCCTGTATCAAAACATGCTCATTCAGTCTTTCTACACTGACCAGGCTTTTCTTTCGTTTTACTCTTTCTTTCTTTTTCTTTGTTGGGTGAAAACATTGCAGCTGCTGAAAAACTCACGGGGGTCTTGTTGAAATCCAAAAATAACTCAGAATTTAAAAAAACTGTGTTTAAATTCTGCAATCAAAGTAAATGACCTCTAAACTGAAATGAGATTTATATGATTTAAGAGGCTGGTATTGAATAGCACAAGAATTTGTACTAGGAATTCTACTATTTTCTTCTTGAAAAGCCAAGACATTCTAATAATCTCTCCTATCATCACCTTCATGGCATGAAAACATTTAACTTTAGGTTTCTTTCCCAGTTTCCATCAAGGCAAATCATGGCATGAAAAGCTAGGGAATGCGTCTAGCAAATGTGAAAACCATGTAAAAGATCAGATCACTGCACTGCAGCAATGAATTCCACCCATAAAAAGTTACTAAATCAGCAGTAAAAACTTCTCAGCATCAGTACAGGGCCATAGGAACAACCAGCAGACTTTTCCCTTGATGAATTGTTATCTTCTATCTGACCAGATAGTATTCACTCCCCTCCTGCTTTTGCCTGCTGACCACTTCTAAACGATTGCTTTGTTACTCCATAATAGACTGATTTACCACCAGAAAATGTTATGAAATTCCATCCAAAAGCAGATCCTCCAACAATATAAGATCCCGTGGTCTGGCCATTTTCAGTTAGTTGTATCTCATCCACAATGCTCGACTGAGAATCTTCAGATGGTTTCCCAGTTACGGATTCTGGTTGATACTGGTTTGCTGGGCTATTGGTTTGGAACTGCTCTTGTTGTTTTTGTCCAACCCCATTTTCACTCGACAATGGTTGGTTTGCAACCACATTCTTACTCTTTGTTGTGGAGTCTGTTTCTCCTATCATCTGTTGGTATAGCTCCATCATGACCTTCATCTCTGCAATTGCAAATACACATTGAAAAGCAAGCATTTTTTTAGACTAAAAAAGTAGCATTAACAAGCATCAGCTGGGTGTTACCAAGAATTGTTCTATCAGATTTCCTGATGACAAAAGGTTAGGGAATGGATGCATGCATCTCTGATTCTATTAAAAGGAGACAAATAGAGCTTTCCAAGAATTGTTCCCATATAAAGTTAAAAAGAAAATTGTGTAAAGAGCAACATAGTTAACAAAGGAAAACTGAGGGCAAGTCTGAGAGAAGAAACTGACGTACATGAAAATCATAAATTTCTACTGCTAACCAAGTCCATGATGGTTGACAAAATATAACTTAGTTTGCCTGAAGCATGTTAAGCCAGAGATGATATTAGCAAGGCGAAGTAGGATTTATTTATTTATTTATCTATTTAAAGAAGAAAGAAGATAAACCTTGGTCCTCCGTGCTAATAACATCTCTTGTCTTAGACATGTCATGTAAATAAAAGAGAATTTCATGAGCTTACTTTCACAAATTTCTTGAGCTGCCTTGCAATTCAGGAAGTCAGGGGTCCGAAGCACCTTATAATAACAGCAAAATCTTAGGCTCGTATATACTTATGGTGTTGCTAAAGTATAAAGATTCATGTAAGTTAACAAACAAAAATTAAACAAATAGCTTCAATGAGGAAATTGATGAACTCATCGATAAAATGCTGATTAACCATCTCTAAAAAAACAAAACAAAGTACTAAAACTTGAGATTGTAACAACCAAAATGCACATACTCAAGAGTGGAGACATTGCACAACAGCCAAGTGAGCATTCAGACGAGTACCAAGTAAAAATTACAACTAAGGAAACAAATGTATATTACTTGATAGCTCGCCTCCACTAGTTCATCTCCACATAATCTAACCCATATGCCAGAAAACAACCAGAAACAAATGAGAAGATTACCAAGTAAAGATTTATGCTGGGTATTGATTAGTTAAATCTGGCTGCTGATTAAATATGCTCTAAATTTTATCTTCAACAGTATCCAAATAAAGATTTCCTTAAGCCAGACTTAATCAGTATCTGTTTTCCTATAAAGAGCCCTTGAGATACACAACAGTTTTAAACACACATGCCAGAAACACACACTGAAAGGAATATCAACCATTAGTAATCTACTCTTTTGGACGGAATTGACACATACCAAAAACACTCATAAAAAGGAATATCAACCATTAGGTAATCAACTCTTTTGGACGGAATCGACACATGCCAAAAACACTCATAACAAGGAATATCAACCATTAGGTAATAAACTCTTTCGTATGGAATCGGCACGTGCCAAAAACACTCATAGAAAGGAATATCAACCATTAGGTAATCAACTCTTTTTGATAGAATCAACACATGCAAAAACACTCATATAAAGGAATACCAATCAGTAGGTAATCAACTCTTTTGGATGGAGTCGGCAATGTGCCCACCAAGCAGTGGTCTTGAAACACTGTGCCCAATAAACATTGGTAAAAAGGAAAAATGGTCATAAAAGACTCGGCTCTTTATTGAAGTTGCATGGCATCAGCAATGTGCTTACCATGCCATCCTCGTGGATCATCAAATAAGCTTTCGTGAATAAACCTCACTGGTAACAAAAATATAGCCACTAGATGATCATAAGTTTCATTTAGGCCACAACTATTATTTGTTAAAAAATCACAGGACACGTTTGACCACATCACAGGACTTCAGATGACAATCGGTAATCACTCCTAAAGCAACCCTTGACTAATCCATTAGTCTACCAAGCTGTATGTAAAACAACTACAAACACAAAATATCAAATCACCATACCCTAACTAAACAAACTCAGAAACGAAACTAAATTTCACGTCCTCAAGCATAAAATGAAAGATTTAGGGCTCAAAACCCTATTTAACCCCGCACATAATAAACAAAATTTTAGTCACCCAGGAAGGACCAAATCATAGAGCTTAAAAGTACTCAACGAACCCAATACATAAAATCGCGAAAGAAAAACCTCCGAATCGACAACAAATTGTCATCAAATACTTCAATACCTCGATAAAATGAGGCCGGAGATCTTTGAGAATAAGACGCATCTTGAAGTAGGGGGAATTCTGGATTCCGGCATTAATGTCAAGTGGTCTCTTCTTGCCCCCTTTATCTGGAGAAGAAGGAGCAGAAGGTTGTGGAGGAGCAGTTTGCGCTGTACTTGGTGGAATTGAATTTTGGGTTGCGGTGTCCTGCGCAGGTTTGGGGTCTTCCATCTTTGAAAGCTTTAAAACGTAAATGGAGCAGAAGAAAGAAGACGAGAAGTGGAGCAAATGTCGAGAGGTGTTTGGCTCGGAGTATATTATTACACGTCGGCTTTTAAGTTCTTTTCTTTCTTTCTTTCTTTTTTTTTTTTTTTAATTGACAAAGAATATAAATTTTTACGTTTGGAAAATTAAATATATTAACAAAATTAATTAAATATGTAAATAATAATTAATTTGTATATTTTACTGGAACAAAAAATTATTTGTAAATTCATTTACTGAAATTTCTAATTGATTTAATCATAAAATAAATAATTTTTTAATACCAAATTTTTAAATGTGAAAAAATAGTCAGAAAGTAAAATAATGTTGGCTAAATTACGTAGAGAGACTTGAAGTTTGAATATAAGTACAAGTGAAATTATTACCTCATAAAAATCATAACCTAATGTTGTACAAGATAATGTATTTGTGAAATAGTAATTAAATATGTACGACATATTAACAATATGATTATCATATAATAAAAAGCAGCGGGTGATTATATTTTTAAAAACATTAAAAAAAAATAGTAACTTTAGTTTATACGAGAAAACAATAGGAAAAAAAATATAAGAATTTTGAAAGTCAATAGATTATCTAAAGAAGTAATTAGCAAAAATCCCATTTTAATTTATGAAAAATATTGTGTTTGTTTGTGTAACCTAAATAAAGATGAAGAGACTGCATGATTTAAGTTGTGGGTTGGATGAAAGGACTAATAGTGAGAATGAGAGAGAATCATATTCATTAACGAATTTTGTAGAACTAAAAAGACGATAATAGGAGATGGTTTACTTTTGAAATATATGTGAGACAATGAGTTGTCGCATTAACAACTGATGTTGATGGTCATTACGGTTGTTGTGTTGTTAGTATGGTTTTAATTTTGAATGTATGTTAACCATAAATTTTAGAAATATATAATATATTTATTATTGTCAGATAGAATCTTTTTTAGGTCTCATATCAAAATTTAAACTAACTAGGTTCTTTGAATTTTTTTAGTAGAACTAACATTCTCTGACCTAAAACTTGAATTTAGAAAAAAATAAATAAATAAATTGTGTTAATGCAAACAAAGTAGTTCGAATAATTTGAGTTTCAAGTTTAATTGTCACTCTTAGTGATGAAAAATAAAAAGTGAAAGATAAGTTAATAGTAAATTGAAAGCATAAATTAATAGATTATGTTTATATGGATTCAATAGGATATTCATATGAGGTTAATCATAGAGATTCACTATGGCCTAACATGATTTTTCTACTGGGGATGGACTAGATGGCCCTGTGGTGGTACTGGATGATATGTCAGAGGCACCAGATTATACTGTAGTGGTGCCAGGTGATGCGGTTGGGGAACCGGGCTATATTGTGGTGGTGCCAGGTGGTACTGTGGCTGGGGCACCGGATCATACTTTGGAAGTGCTGGATGGTACCGTGAAGGAGCAGGGTCATACTGAAGTGGCTCAGGATCCTCCCGCTGTTAGGGGTGGCTCGACCTGTGGTAGCGGATGACAGTCAGGTAGCTCCCTCCTTTCCTCTCGGGCCCGCTAGGCAGCGATGAGTCTCTCCAGTATTTCAAACAATCGGTCAAAATTCTCTCAAAGCGAACCCTCCCGGACTACTCGGTTTAATGGGGGTATTTCTCTCCTTATCTAACTGTACCTGCATTTCACAAGGAATTGTTGAGTGATAATTCATTCTTTGGGGTTTCTTAGGATTTTTGTGTAAAGAATGGTTCCAAGAAATGCGGTTCTGATACCAACTATAACAGCTCAAAACTTGAAATGAAATAAATTATAAATTTGAATGCGGAAGCGAAATAATAGCGTTAGGGTTTACATTCCTTACACAATAATTCTGAATACTCAATAGGGTTACGGAAATGACCATTTTGAAAGAACAACTAATAATCAAAGAAATAAAAAAAAAAAAAAGCAAACAAACTGAACGTCCTATTCCCCACCCTCTTGTGGATCGGAATCTGGATCTTGGTTTTCTTAATCTGAAATGATTAATGAAAGTGTAACACCCACCTAAATTTTTTTTATTAATAAACATATTTTTTTAATTATTTAATTTAATTTATTATATTTTGTTTTATTTTAATTTAATAGAGTAAATTGATAAATGATTAAATTAAAAATAATTTTGGAAAAAATGGGTGAAAAATTAGATTTTGGGAGTATTTTTGAAAGAAAAAACAGAAACCGAAGGTTAAAATGTAATTTAGAAAAATTGTACCACATCAAATGCCCGGTCAGCAGCTCTGACCAACCAGGACGCGTCAAGTGGCAGAGGCGCTGATGCGGGAGGCCACGCGGGGGGAGCCATGTTGGCGATCCGCGTGAGTGCGATCGAATGGCTGAGGTCCGTTCCCACGGGCACGGACGACCCAAAGTGAATCGCGCGCGAACGGTCTAGATTAGATCGCAATGAACGGTCCAGATTCACTCCTTATTTAATCGCAATCGGACAGTCCAGATAAAAAACGATGGACAGTCCAGATCAAAAGTGGATGGGTATAAATAATCTCACCTGCACCCAAACCCTAACCCTAGCCGCCAGAACCCCTCGTTGGAGAAGACAACCCATCCGCTAGGGAGCCGACCGCCGCCACCCGCCGCCGAACCGGAACCCTTTCTGACTACCAAAAAAGGTAAAAAAAAATTTTTTTGCACGAAATTCAATTTTAAACCCACCCGTGGCTAAATAGGAGTAAAAGAACCGGCCAATTGGACAAAAAATATCGACGAAGCCCGACACTGCCGTCGCAGGAAATTTCACAAACTGCCTCTGATGAGACCCTTCTCGATTCCTATTTCGTATAATTTTTTCATTGTTGTGATCACCGTTTTCTTCTCTACAGGTTGACCGAAGCGAAACACCCAACTGCAACTTGAGCCAGAGGAGCCGCCGCACCAGAGAGCCCCACCGTCGGTGAGTTTCAGTTTTTCATATTTTTTCAGCCCATCGAGGCCCTTTAGTGTGAGTGCTCGTAAGAATCGATATAAAATCGACCGAATTCGTCTGAAAACAGCCGACCCAAGGTGGACCACAGCCGCAGGCAGCGACACCGTCGTCGAAGCACGATGGAGTTGTCATGCGGATTTTTTAAATTGGTCGAGTTGGCTCTGCGACTGATTTTAGATTTATTTGGGATATTTGTAGGTACTATAAGTGCATTTCAGTCCCCGGAGAAAAATTCAGGGAACCTAGGGACCGCCCATAGGCACAGTAAACCATTTAGCTTTTCAACGTCAAATCAAGTAAGGACCCCTCACCCTATTTCCTAATATAGAATTGAAGTTTGAATAAATAATAATAAGGTATTTTGTACAAATTAAATAAATTTGCATAATTAATTACGAATTGCTAATAGAGCCCGAGCCGGACATTGTTCTCTATTAATTTTTGTTGATTTATTTTACAGTCTAAAAACATGATGACATTTGATTTATCTATTTTATGGTTTAAATGCATGTATTAATGTCTTACTTGACCACTATTTGATTTTGAAATTTGAGACATGATTGCATTACCGGATGCATATTTATTTGTTTATGTGATTATGTTTGATTTGGTAATGGAGACTAAGGAAAAACAGGAAAGGGATGTGATTAAATTAACAGATAGAATGATAGCCTCACTAGATATCCTGGGAGATAGTGGACGGACTGGGTTCATAAGGAACCCTAACGTGAACGTTGTCTCATACCGAACGGGGTATGGAGACTTAGTAATTTGGCACTCATTCCAAACGGGGTATGGAGACGGTCCATTTTACCCTCATACCAGACGGGGTATTGAGGTTTAATGTCTTGGCGCTCATACTGGACGGGTATGGAGACGGCCATATAATTGAGATTGTTAAGGTAAATAGTTCACGTGTAGCAGAGACACCTCTATGAACCCCCAGGGATACTAGTAGGCTAGTGAAACAAGAAACGGTTATGATTTAGTTTATTGTGAATGAATATGAATTTATGATATGTTCTATGTTGCTGATTGTGCATGGAGTTATGATCTGTATTGTATTATGTCTCTATAGGTTGTTTTCATAAATTTCACATGATAAGTGAACGG